AGCGCTGCTGTGCCTTTCAGCCCCATTCCTCAAAGCGAATTTATACATTGCAAGGATGCAGCATATGCCGTAACAGTGCAGCCGGTCTCCTCTCGAACGTCATCAGTTTCTTCCTTCAAGAGCAATTACAGTGTCTCTACTGCCCCTACAGTCTACTCTCCTATCTCTCCCGCATCACCAGTTCGCGTATTCGACTCCGCTGCTTCTCTGGATAAGATACTGGAGTCGGTATTCAAGCGACTACCGCAAGAAGTCTACGATGTCATTCTTGATCAACTGGAACTTTTACATGTTGGCCCGAATCAGACCGGATGCTTAACATGCTTTCAGCGCGATTTGCACGCTCTTTCTTTGACCTGCCGGGCGTGGGAGAAGGGAGTCAGAGCGAAGTTGTGAGTATATTGTTATGCCTTCGGGCACGCCCTTCGTCATAGCGATTCCCACGTATGCTAATCAGATCATCTCCATCCAGGTATAACCGCATACATATCATTGGAAATGATTCACCGTCGCAGTTGAAGAAGTACCGGCTTAAGAGGGGAAGCCGCTTAAAGTTGCTCAGACGAACCCTCCGGGAGAGGAAGTTGCTGGCCAATCTCGTTCTGGAGCTTCGAGTCCCCCAAATGGACCTGTTATTCACCACCGTGAAGCAGAGCACTCAATGGCAAGAATACCGAGACCTAGTCGCCTCGGTCGTCATGGTGTGCCCGAACTTGGAACGATTGCTCGGCTTGACCATCCCGTACAACCATGAGTTCGATCGCCTGACACATGCGTTGTCTACACGTCGAAAGTTGAAGGAGCATACATGGGTTCTAGGAGAGGCCCCGGCGGTTTCTGAAGAATCCCCTCGCAGCACATCTTGCCCCTGGAGCTTGGGCCCATCGCAAATGTTCGAGTTTCTTAACTACCATGTCTCATGGACTAATCTAGAGACGCTGATGCTTTATGGCGTGAACGAGAACAACGCCCTGGAACCGAGTATCTTCCTTCGCATGGTCAGCCTTCTGCCGTCACTGCGGAATCTTTGCATTTCCAACTTCGACACAGATGCCTTTGCGGACAGCGCACTGCTGTGCCTACCGTCGCTGGAATCGCTCCGCTTGGAGAACCTGCCGGGCGTGACTGATTCAGGGCTGTGCCAATATGCCATGCGTCCGGAGTCTCGCTCGCTCAAGACCTTGGCCCTTGTGGAACAGAACATAGATTCGTTGCTTACGATTTCGAAAATCCTATCGTCTCTAAGACAATTAGAACGATTCAAATTCGTCCAGAGCAACAAAAACCCTACGCTGAACGCCGATGGGATTGTCTTTCAACCGCTTTTCGCCTCCTCGACCCTCCGATACCTGCATTGGGACGTTACGGGACCCGACTCTGCCGCCGGACTCGGCAGGCTCGATTACGCTCCGTTCGTGAAACCACCGCGGCATACAGAATCACCAAATTCTCATTTGGCTCAGAGTATTCTGTCCGTGGGCTTCCCTCGTCTTGAAGCACTGCGAGCACCCTCGGATATAGAACCTCCAGGAGTCCTCCAGGCTGTATGCCAGCCGATACCACGCGGACAGGCACTGCTCAAGCCGGACCGTTACAGCCTTCCCCGTAGCTCCCACGGCTCTGTTACGACCCGACCAATGGCTCTGCCCGCGGGAAACAATCTGACCTCTGCTCGGATACGAGCACAGACTTTTATCGATATGGCAGCGAAAGACACGGAAACTGGAATGCGGCTGCTCATCACTGATCACTCGGACTCGTACGTTCCAGACAATGCATTAGACGAACTTTCCGATGATGGATCCGAGCTGGACATGGACGAGTTCGGCATAGGTGGTGTGCAGCCTAAGAATGATGTCTTGCCTGACGATCACGAAGGTCCGGTCACAGTGTATGACTTCCGGATGCCAGCCTTCATGGGGAGGATAGGATCTAGGACAAGTGACAAGGACATCTCAATCCCAAGGTTTATCCTTCGTCCAGACATACCAGGGCAGGATGGTGATGGAGGCCTAGTTGATTGGAAACATGTGCTGGCCTCCAGCCAGTCGCTCACGTATGCTGCTGGAGTTGGAGTGAATTGCTTTGGCGGCAAGGGCCACACCAAACCGGCCCCCGAGGAGCCACCATCGCCGACATCAACTACAACCTCACGCTTTGGATGGGGCAGCATCGGCAGTCGGTCCGCGCTGGGCACCAGTCCGAACACCCCTACAACACCAGCGACGCCGATGAGTCTTTCGTCTACAACGGCACTCCCTTGGGACCGGGATACCTGCACCGGATCATGGAATTATAGCCACAAAAGTGGAAGGGACTGGTGGTTCCATATGGAACGAGACCGCCCAGGAAACGTCGAAATAGTCGACGTTAAGCGACTATTCTAGTCAGGTTGATGTACATCACCGGTGACGTGCATTTGGATTTTATTTTTTCATTGGTACTTTTATTTTCTCAGGAATGGCATGCTATGGTACATGCTATCTGTTGGTATACACGCAGAAACGGCGTTTACGGATTGACGGACGGATGGACGATCTCATCAATTGTTGATATTCTTTTTCTTTATTTCTCTGGACATGTTTCTGGTCTCGACATACCCGGTGCAGCAGGGGTTATTCCATCTCTATCTCATTAATTGGCATCTCTGACACACTCTCATTCTGGTGATTCTCGCTTACCGCATAGATTCCTATCATCTGGATCATCTCCGTCTATCAGTGTTTGGCGCACATGGAGAGAATCGCACCGGCGCGAGCAACGCATCTTACATAATGCTGCAGCTTTTGCTTATATTGTATATCCATGTGCCTTCGCTTGTACAACTCATCATCTGGGGTGGCATTTGTCGTTTTTTACATGTTTTGTTCCTGTGTACTTATAGTACTTATGTTGGTCAGAGTGATCAGTACATATACCTAGTGCGTAATGCATAACTACGGACATCTAACAAGAACAATTCTTCCACATTTAAGAAATAATAAATAGGCATTATATTCTCGAGAAGCTGTCATCTTTACAACAAGTCGTTTGTTTGTATAAAGAACCGCAAGTATCCTCCCCTTCTTCTCACTCTCTAAGATTCAGTCATCACAAAACTGCAACAGAAAAAAGAAGTGATACTAAGTACACGCACAACCTACCACACCAATGTAATCCCATAAATAAAGAATGAGAATGACACAGACAATACGAAAGTGAGTAAAACGGACTGAAAGGTGAAGGAAGAATGAGTAAAAAAAAAAAATGAAGATAAAAAAGAATGAATGGGGCAAGCCGGGCTTGAACCGGCCACCTCCAGATCTTCAGTCTGACGCGCTCCCAGATGCGCCATTGCCCCATTGGTTGATATCTTGGATACAAAAAACCCCTACATGAAGGTAGACAGAGGGTAAAGAAGAAAATTACTCTTTGGGAAGGCAATTGGGGCGGAATAGAGTAGGGAGGGTTGTTGGTCTTTTCGAGGGGTAAGTAGGAAGTAATTAGTGGATGGTTATTTGGTTAAGCATGGGGTTCTTCATGCGGCTTTTTGCAGAACAATGAACAATAATAGGGGCAGGAGGATGAAGATTAGAAAATACAGATTTTACAATGTTTTACTTGTTCTTCATCTGTGTGCTTTGTTGACTTCTCCCTTTGTCTTTCTCTTAGCGCAAACAAACTTATGCTGAATATCTGTTAGGAGACTCGTAAGATGGAGTGGGTTGATCACGTAAAAATAAAGTAGCTCAGTGACGTTACCCCTACTAGCAGCATATAAACAAACTATATGCAGGACATAGAATATATTATCAAGCTACGAAGCATAAATCAATCAATCTGCTCTATATGACTACTGCCATAAACACCCATAGCGAGTACTTCCCCTCATATTTTCAAAGTCCTCAACAATGATCACTAATCAAGGGGCAATGGCGCATCTGGGAGCGCGTCAGACTGAAGATCTGGAGGTGGCCGGTTCAAGCCCGGCTTGCCCCATTCTTTTTTTTGTTTTATTTTCCGTTTCTCTCTACTTTTTTGAAGTGTGGATATTGGCGCCGTTGGGGTTTAATTTGCATATTGTGGGAGAAGACGATGTTGTGGGGGTTGTTATAGATTGCGCTAGCCGGATCTAGTTAGTCAATAAGTGTGGGGTCTTGGCTGGTTTGTTATGTAATTACTTAGTCAGTTGGTTGGTTGGTTGTGTGCCAGTGGGTGGGAGGTGTCCTTTTGTGCGATGGGTACGGCATCACTCAATTTGATATCAGAGACCGTGCTTTGTGTTTAATTGTGGGGTCTAGTCTACCTTGGAGTTTGTCGGTGATGAGCTTCTGGTGTTGAATGTATCGTGGTACTAGGCTGTGGTATGGCAGAGCGGATTTCGCCGGTTTGGAGGTGCCGGCGGGTGGTGTGGTTTATTTAGATTTCTAGAGGGAGGGTGAGGTAGATGTAGAAAGTACTAAGGTGTTGAATACTTGCTTCTGAAGCATGGTAGGCGCTGGATGTATATTGAAGTGAAGCAACGAGCAGCATGCATCTAAGTTTGTCCTGGTGTAAAGCCTGATGGTTTCGGTTGGGACATTGACATGGAGCGAGCAGTCTGGGTGCCTGCTTATGGGGACATACCTGCGTCGAGTTGCAATGCAGCAACCTGGAAAGGTAGGGACATGGATCAGAACATGTCATGCTCTATAGTGGCATTAAATATACGCCCGTCAATATTACTGTATTGATTTCGGTGCAAGTGCCATCAGAGTAGTAGTCGGTCGACGGCGCCTAATAATTATATCCTAGTAAATGCCTCAGTATACATCCGTGCCAACCAACTCAAATACGCAATTACCCATGGATAACACCACTACAGTATGTTTAAAGTAATAGTGGAATAATAAGTACAAGAAATAGTAACATAAAGTGCAATAATGTCACACACAGCGTCCGGAATGGCCTCATAATGTGTATTTTTATTTCTGGAAAAGGGTCTACAAGAATAGTGAAAAACTTTCTTTTAATACATGATCGGGGCAATGGCGCATCTGGGAGCGCGTCAGACTGAAGCTCTAACTTCGGCCATAGGCTTCGTCCGAAAGGACGTCCCTGTTAATCTGAAGGTGGCCGGTTCAAGCCCGGCTTGCCCCATTCCTTTTTTTTGGTTCTTTTAGGACACACGCATCGGCTTCCCACCATCCACTTCAACGCAATCTTCTATATGGGTCGGACCTTATTCTCCTTTGTTTCTTTATTCTTTTCATTTCTTCTTCGCTTCAACTGGGCTTTGTTTTTGCCCAGCCTCTTTATTTACTTCAAGCCCCTCAAACCCTCTCGATCATTGCTTGGTCTCCCATCTACTTACCGCACAAATAATCCAGACACCCTTAATTACATGACCGTCTACATCCGCTATCCAATATGCTTGTCTTAGTATTCTTGACATTATTTCGGAAATCCGCGAAATGAATAATCAATAAGCTTGTTCTAGAGCTGCTGTAGGTCCCTGCTCATGCGACCATTCACTCTCACATACACACAAAACAGCGGAAGCTGAGATTAGTCCATGTACTCACAGTTCGGATAAATTGTTTTGTGAGATCATGAAAGTAACACATGTTGGAATCCCAGATTGTTATGATGTTCTCCCTTCTCATAGTGCCGTCCAGGCTGCCGCAAGAAGAGAAGTAAAGGAGAGACAAAGAGGGAGTGCGTGTTCTACTATACAAGTATGTGCAGATACGACCGTGATTTGTTCTCATACTTCTACACGGATGGCTGGAAATATCCATAGCATATCTACTGACACGCACGATGAAATCTTATGTATAGTTTATATCGCAGCTTTCATGTTTTGTTGAACTGATGGCGGTTAGTGCTGATGGTCATGCACGTCTGCAGAGCAGCAGATCAACAGGGATACCCCGAGATCTGGGATGCGACTGCTACTTCTGCTATTCAATGCACATGTTGAGGTAATGGCTATTCAGTATAGCTAATGTTTTCACCAAGCCGAAATGGAATGAAACAAATAGAAGAAAAGCGGGAAGTCCATGTGCACCTGATGTAAACCTCATGAGTATGGTTAACTATCTCCAGACACGCTGGGCCATAAAACCATCGCCATTCCCATTCGTAGACGCAAGGGGACACGACAACTACCAGTCAAATCAAGGAACTACAAACCATCGAACAAAGGCGTCTGATACTAATCGGGATAGGTATCCTCTAACTCTTCAACGCTACTACACCACCCTCGTCTCATACCTAAGATGGTCTGGAAATATTTGGACAGCCCTGAGCTGCACCATAGCTCATACCGGCTCGAATGGGGATCTAAGATAGCCAAGCTATTGGATCATGCCAAAGTCCCCTACGTAGCCTGGGGAGATTTGATGAACGTGCACATGGTAATGCACATTGTGACTGTAAGGCAAACCCACCACCTAATAGGTTGAAGAAAAGAAAATAAAAAAAATATGAAAATGGAAAGGGCTAACTGATCGACAATAGAATCGTGCCCTTTGCTTCGTGGTTCCGGATGATCGCCTGGATGCCGCTATACGAGCATTGCGAGTTGCTGGTTTTCCTGAGAATCCTTGTCAAGTTTCATTCTGTGACTGGGCCAGCCCCCCCAAGAACCGAATGCCAAACCCGTGGCCTGACCACCACTTCCACCATTATCAAGAGGTAAAAGATCTTGTCTGGTCCGGAACATATACAGTCTGCTACCCTATTGGTCTGATTCGGAAGTCCCAGTGGCTCTGGCTCTTGCCCGATCTTCCCCTTGACTTTCCTGAGCCCAATGACCCTAATTTCATGCTCTCTACAGACCGTCGTCTCCCTGACTGGGATATGGAGGGGTTCGGGAACTCCTTTTATCCCATAAAGCTGCTCACTCCGGCGCGATGGATAGAGTCATTATTCTGCCAGGAGATCAGAGATTCAAGTCTAACTGATGACTTGTCGGAACCTTGGCACCGACCTGTTAAAGATTTCCATGAACGACTTGCAAGACTACTGCATCCGGAATTATTTCATGTTGACCTCATCCAACAACCATTTCGCACCTTCTATAAGCTGAATACGAACTGGCGTCCCTTATCATTCCCCCTGATGGAATTGCTGATGGCCCGGTTGTGGGAAGAATGGCAGAAAGCTGGTTCTATGCCAAACCCTGTTTTCCCGTTCGATATCGAACGGCACAAGCAGAATGTCGAGAAGTTCAAACAGGCCTTTCCATATTCAGACAATAAGCTTAGCGAGATTTTGCGAAACGGTGTTTAGATCCCAGAGTCAGGTTTTCACTCAGTCACCCTCCCTCTTCTCCCTCCTTTCCAGTCTTACCACCAGAAAGTGTCTCAGCGAGAACTGTTCAAGTAGAGGATTAGGTTCAAAGACAGATGTATAGTCCTTTGTGTGGAGCTTGAAAATATATCATTTTATTCTTTATTCTCTGAAGTTAAGTTGCCTCTCCTTCCGAGTTTGGCCTTAGTCAGAAGTACACTTCCTTATCCTAGTCCCTGAGGAAAAGTAATGAAACCCACCCCCAAGTTGCTCCATAAAGAAAAAGAGTGACGGGCAGGTAGAGACGTCTAATGGACGTGTGCTAATAACGAAGGGAACATGTCACGCAAAGAAAGTAGCCCATGGCACTGGGGTATTGGGACAAGCAACTCTGGCATGAGACAATGAGTGAGGACCCATGAAGGCCCCGGAAAATATATCCGCACTTGGGAGCTTGGTGAGAATAGCAGACACTACTACTACTACTACTACTACTAGTAGGGTCTATGGACCTCGGGGGTAACGTATCCCTTATTTTCTTAAGCTGAGGTTGATTCTACGAATAGACGATATCATAATTGGCAGTGGCTTAAGTCTGGTGTTACCGCGTGCTACTGCATGAAACGGCCCTGAGCCTGCTTGGATGTAATCGGAGTCCTTCCTGTCATCTGCACGTATCAAGACCCTTGACAAAAGCACGCCAGGTGAAAGTGTGCTCCTTTTTCGCTCTCTACCTTCGAGACCCTTCATAAAACCATTACTTATGCCGGACATCATCGTAGGGTGTGATTGGAAAGTACTAAGCCCTTATTGTCATTCAATCCCAGCTCCTGTCCCATGCCGTCTCATCACAGCACACCCTACGTTCCCACTCAAACCCCAGCAAAAAGCAACCCACCTACAACCCGATCACTCTCGAATAATGCTTACAAAAACTTAAGTAAGCTACCGAGATACAAAGCTGTTCTGTTTGCTTATCATCCTGGACTTCTCTTTGATGATCCTCGCTAGGAAATTGTTGCTAGTATCTTGGAGGCTCCACTGACCATTGCCACGGGCATGAGTTTACGTGGCAGGGTGGCAAACGCGGAAGACAGATTCCGATCCCATGCTGTTGGAGGTAATATAGTAAATCAAGTAGATTGACTAGAGGCTCCCTGCCTATCGCATTGCTTATACAGCAGCCCCCTTGAGGTCGGGCCGCTGACCGAGAACTGACACACTGACCACGGATATAGAACCGCCCTAGATCGTATGCCCGGATAGACTTGGAGATTGGGTAAAGATGAAGCTTAGAATAATGATTGGGTGAGGGATGGTCCGTGGTGATTACTAGTTTGGGCGGATGCTAAAGGTGGTCGGCGCCCAGTGCTCCTCTTGTCGAACGGGCTAGACATAGGATTTATGCACTCCATAGTAGATTTGGTGACCAAAAATAGCTCCATCACTACGTGTACAGTCAGCGGCTAGACAGACAAGACATTTCTCTTCGCGCGGCTGCCGGGTTATGATTCCGGTAACAGAGACAGGACTTGAATTAGGACGATTGACTCCGTCTCGGCCGTCGACCCACCCTCTCAACCATGGAGCACCAAATGTAGCCAAAGACGCTTATGCGCCAAAAGCACGTCTGTAAATACGATGGTCAGGAGAAAATCGGCTAAAACAGGGCACGTTGCGCCCCATGGATCCAATTTCCTTGATTTGCTCCATGCCTCTGCTTCTTCCCCCCCTCCCTCTCTCCCCTCATGGGGCTGGTCCCTGGCTCCTATCACGGAAATGGAGGGTGGGGACGACTTCAAGCTCGGTAGTTCTGTCAATTTGGGCTTTATACCGGACTGACACGATAGGCGGATGGCTTATAAATTTGGGATAATAATCGTTCTACTGCACGTCGTGATTGTAAACGCCCATCTGCTATTTACTCTTTGTCTCAGAACCTAAACGATATCCGGATAACATGGAAGGTTTCGTCCGCTCCGAGTTTCTAGGCACGGTGTTCGAGTCTACAAAGCGGTAAGTTCAGCTAGAAGTAACCTGTCTTGACGCTAAGTAACAAGTCCGACCTTGATTGTAACTATTGGGTAGATACGGAAACTTGCAACCCATTGGCCTGGGTGTATATAGTCTTGTTTGGTAGCCCCTGCCCTGTTTTTTCTTGGTTTCTGCTGGGACGAGAGAGGTTGTGAGTGAGTGGGTGAGTGAACGAGGTTATGACTGACAATTCAATCCAGCTCGGCACATGATCAGATTACGGGACAGGCAGTCGCCATCAAGAAAGTCATCAAGCCGTTCGAGACTGCCACAGTGGCAAAGCGTACCTTCCGAGAGGTGAAACTCTTGAAGCATTTCCGACACGAGAATGTATGGCGAGCTCATCCATCCACCTCTTACATACCTTCTTCGTTCTGACTATCTACAGCTCATCGGTCTTTGCGACATTTTCGTCTCCCCACTGGAGGACATGTAAGTACCCACAAACCCTTCATGTTTTCACACAGCACCGACAACTGTCCGTCAGCTATCTAGTGACTGAACTCCTTGCGACGGATTTGAATCGACTGATGAGATCCAAGCCTCTGGAGCCCCAGTTTGTTCAGTATTTCACCTACCAGATCTTGGTAAGTTAGCGGAGAGGTAACTCCGACAGGGTGCCAGCGCCCAGAATTGACTAACTTCGTCTCCATAGCGTGGTCTGAAGTACATCCACTCCGCCGGCGTGATCCATCGGGACCTCAAGCCTAGCAATATTCTGGTCAACGAGAATTGCGACCTAAAAATATGCGACTTCGGACTTGCACGAGTGAAGGAACAACAGATGACCGGCTATGTGTCTACACGCTATTATCGAGCACCAGAAATCA